GGGGGGGGAGAACATGGTGAATGGAACTGGCCTCGGAGGCACTACCACCAGAGGCTGACCGAGAGGTGGGCGGGCCTTTTGGCAAGCCTGACTCCCAATCAGGCGCGGTCAGGTGCCAGGAGCACGTGCAAAACCAACTCTGCATTTAGCAACGAGCCTCGGTTGTTCCTCACACGTCACACTGGGAAACAGTGGTATGAGCGGCTGCGACGTGGGCAGAGGCCCATCCCGTCGTGGCAACACCAGACATGCCCCTAGCTAGCTGTGGTCTTGTTTAGAGGGCTCTCAACACACCACGCAGGTTGCCCCTTACGGGGACACGGCTCTTAACAGGGCTGGCAAAGGTCAGAATGGCCAGGGGTGTCGGCAGCTACAGGAGGGCCCTAAGATACTCAACATCAAAAAACTGAACAGAAGCCAGCGCCCGTGGGCTCACCTGTAATCCTAAGCCTTGGAGGCCAAGGCGGCGCGGATTGCTTCAGGTCAGGAGTTCTCAGAAACAGCCTGAGCAGCCAGCGAGACCCATCTCTAAACTATAAACTAGAAAGAAATTAATTGCAACTGATAATATATATACTATGCAGAGCCTCTAGTGCAGACCCTCTAGTGCAGATCCTCTAGTGCAGATCCTCCAGTGCAGATCCTCCAGTGCAGATCCTCCAGTGCAGACCCTCTAGTGCAGAGCCTCTAGTGCAGACCCTCCAGTGCAGAGCCTCTAGTGCAGACCCTCCAGTGCAGATCCTCCAGTGCAGATCCTCCAGTGCAGATCCTCCAGTGCAGAGCCTCTAGTGCAGAGCCTCTAGTGCAGACCCTCTAGTGCAGATCCTCCAGTGCAGATCCTCCAGTGCAGATCCTCCAGTGCAGATCCTCCAGTGCAGACCCTCCAGTGCAGAGCCTCTAGTGCAGACCCTCTAGTGCAGAGCCTCTAGTGCAGACCCTCCAGTGCAGATCCTCCAGTGCAGATCCTCCAGTGCAGATCCTCCAGTGCAGAGCCTCCAGTGCAGAGCCTCTAGTGCAGAGCCTCTAGTGCAGACCCTC